TTGGGGCAGCTAGCAAAAAAAAAACATCCAACGCCGAGCTGCTATTGGACATTGGATCAAGCGTGCGTGATGCTTGGTGGCCGCCTATCGCAGGTGCCGAGCAGCCGTCGCAGAGCCTGCCAAGTGTTAGTTGAGTGCGCTATTCATTGGGTTTGGGGTGCCAGCCCCAACAGCGCAAACAGCAACAGCTACAGCAACAGGAACAACTACAATAACAACAACAGCAGCAGCAGCAGCGCACTGTAAACTAACACACACCTGTATGTTGTGCTCGCTTCAGTCTGTTAATGCAACACTGTGCGTAGGCGCCACTATTTTGTAGAGCTCTATATTTGTAGGTGGAGCTTGGCTTACATAACGCTGCACAGATACACTAACAGACATGCCTACACATGCCGCAAACCTTCTTATGGCTTTATGTAAATAGGATGATAAATATGAGGTACGCGTACAAACCTATTTACTTGGACAACTTTAGTAATGTGTGTGGGCAACGAGTTTCTTTTTTCATTTTACCTACATTTAATTAAATGTTGCAGAACAGTTACAACAACAACGACAGCACAATGACAATGACAACCCTACTCAAGCAAGTGCAACCCCTTCCAGTGCGCCACTCTTTATTGGGCTTCTAAGCACACTTAGTACCCTACATCATTTGGTCATGGTGTTTGTCGCACTTAGAAAAGGCAATAACGACCACAAACCCATAAATACTATGTACAAGTACATATGTATATTCCAGAACATTATTTTAATCACAGATACATATGTATACTAATAAAATATATTTTATTCTACTTATAATAAATCCGAATCAGTAAAATTAGTTGTTTTTCAAAAAGAGCAGAAGACTTGTGTACCCTAAACCCTTTACTTGTATACTCTATTCCCGTCCTTCTACTGTTCTTAAACTTTGTTGCAATAAACGAACTTCAATTGCTACTCCTACAGCTTAAAAGGACTCTGATCATTATTTCATACATATAGCTATCATAGACACAATTTGTATCAAAAGCTTGTTAATAAATATCTGGTGATCGGGAAAGGCAGAAAAGGGAATATACATTTTTTTAAAAAGGAGCAGAACATAATTAGACTGGTGGAATAACTATTTTGTTTATAACATATAGGGACAACTCTTAGTACCAAGAAATGTATTGATTATGAAGATACCTAAACACCTCACTATACACCAAATTCTGTTTTTACACGGTAGATTGGTTCCAGAAAAAAACCGTGTATAAAAAGACATTGATCATATGCAGAAATATGTGATTGGTTCCATAAATCTAAAGCCTATTACAATCAGTGAAGAAATAAGGACTTAAATCACATATAAGAATGGTTTCTAGCTGTTTGCTATTTTAAATCGTGCTAAATGGAATAAAGTTGTGTAACCATATATAAAATTTTAAATTTTCAAATCGTGCTAAATTAAAACCGTGTAAAAAATACCGTGTACAAACAGAATTAGGTGAAATCTGAACTTTTATTAAAATCTGTGCACTTCCAAATGAATGATTGGGGCAACAAAGGATTTATTCTATTCTATTCTATTTATTGGCTCTATTGTACCCGTATGTAGTGATCCTTTCTCTATACTTTTTGTGTATATTGCCTTCTTAGAAGTGTCGAGCTTATATATAGGTATAAGAGCTTAATCTAATTTAAATAAATATAATAATAATAATAATAATATTATAAATATTATAAAAAATTCAATTTTTTCTGCTTGTTGTGGGCGTTTTAGATCATATTTGGATTTCATAAAGTTTTTGTGACATTTACATGGTCTTAGACAGCGTTTCAAAAAAGCGTATAATGTAGAGGTTGTATATATTTGTACTTCACTGATCTAACTGCTCTAATTGCTATTGTTTTTTGGGCTTATCCAGAGCTAAGACAATTGCAATTTTTACCCCGAAATTTGCAAAGTTTTCAAAAGTTTTATCGTGCAACTACTTTCTAAACACAAGAGCATTTTTTCCAAGGGTATATTTAGTGAACAGTATTGGTGGCGTACTGTTTTTCTTTTGAACCCTTTTTTCTGCCGGTCGCGCCTGATTAAGGTACTAAATGGCATACTCTTTCATCATCACGTTTCTAATGAGTTGACAAGAAAGTAATTTTTTATTTTTGACAAACGGACGTGTCGAGGCTGCGACCAAGCCAGCAACAATAACAACAGGGCTGCTCCTTTAGTGTTTTCTTCACTGGTGGCTGGTGGGGAAGGTGGTGATGACGATGACTATGATGATGGTGGTGGTTGAGATGATTGAGGTGGTTCAGACAAGACTGTTGCGGTTTCATTCTGTTATTGTTGGCTATTTAGCTATTTATTATTTTGCACCTCATCTGATTTGATTTTTTTCGCTTTGTTTCTCGCAATGCTGCATTTGTCGTTGAAGGGTGGCGGGTGGTGGCGGTGGCGGTGTCACTGGGTGGTATTTGGGTGGTTAGTGTATGACACTTGACAACTGAAACTGTGAGCAATGCAATGCCTGACTTCCTTTGCAGTCAAATGTCAACCCCTTTTGCCAGAAAGGACAACAAAAAAAACCAAATCGAATTTGTTGCAAAAACTCGGACACACGCTCTCTCCCTCTCTCTCTCTCTCTCTCACACACACACAGAAACACACATACATGCTATAAGCTGGCAGGCAGACAAGGCTTGACAACAACCACATAATGAATTGGCTGCATAAATAATAGGCCAAAACTACTTAGGATAAACACAGAGCAGCGACTTCAACACACGCACCCAAAACTTGCACCACACACACACACGCACGCACACACCCCAACTCTTTTTTGTGGCTCAGGCTCGAGTGCTGAAGCCGCTTCTTCTGCTGCATCCCTTTCCTGGCATGCGTTGGAGGATCAAGCGCGTTGGCCGCTCGTCGCAAAGAGCAGCATTATTCATACATAAAAAGCCAATTAAAAATTTATAATAGACCCCCGCGCTGTTGCAGCAACCCCAAGAGTACGTACAGAGGCGAAAGGACACGCCAGCTCGCACAGTGGGCCGAAAAGCAGCATTAAATTTCAATAAATAAATATATCATGAGAGAAGCATTATTTAAAAAAAACACAAAAAAATGTCAAGGTTATCATAAAATTTAATAATTGTTCATCCTAGGACTGATCTTAAATCAAGATTAAAGATTGACACCAACAAAAACAAATTAAAAAAAAAAACTGCATTAATTTTCAATAAATATTGCATGGATAAGTAGGGAGCAGGAATCCCACAATGTGAGTTGGTTCCAGAGTAGGGACTCGGTTCGAGACACGCTTCATAAGAGAAGCATTCATTTCAAAAAAATATCAAGGTTATCATAAAATTTAATAACTGTTCATCTTAAATCAAGATTAAAGGTTTAAAAAATAAAAACTGCAGTAAATTTCAATAAATATTGCATGGCCAAGTTGGGAGCTGGATATCAATTCAGAATCACAAAATGTGTCTCAGAACAACTTGTTTGCCAATAATTTGAAATAGTGATGAAGCTGACTTCCAACTCCCAAAATTAAAACAGTTTTCAATTATTGTATTCCTCCTGCGAAGTGTGTCCTATTTTTTGAAAATATTGTTATTTATTTATAGTTAACAAAGAACTGCTAATATAATACGAATAATAATAATAATAATAATAATAAAAAATAATAATCATAATAATAATATACAAAAGAATTCAGGATATTACAAAGAGTAACTTAAAATAATTCCAAGTTATTGCTCTTATTGCGCCATAAAGTCATTCAACCAATGAAAGCTTTTTGGAAAAAAAAATCCTATATATGGTAAGGTACAATAAAAATACTCAGAAATGCCGAACAGAACAGAAAAGATTGATTTCGGCACCGATTTTTGCTATGGCTATACGATATAGGAGGCGCATATGGCCAATCACATGATTATTGAAACTAATACAAGACAAATGAATTCAAACGGCTCCATTTCGATGACGATGTAAGGATGGCGCTAGACTGGAGGAACCCCCGAGGAAACAGACGGATCGGCAGACAATCGACGACAACCTGGTGGCGGACCACCCTTCAGGAACTATCCCAGAACAACACTATATGGGAAACAGCTAGACAGACGGCTAGAAATAGAATTAGGTGCAAAGTTCTTGGCGAAGCCCTAAGTTCCCAGTAAAAAGTAATAAAAATAAAAAATGTACGATATAGTTAAACGACGCTAATGAAACGAAAACGAGATATTAAGAGACAATATAGAAACCTCACAAATGCCAAATTTGTTTAAGATATCATCACAAAGAAAAGAGTTACTAAAGCTACTAAAGTGCTTTTTTCCCCGAACGGTCCAAATAAAATATTGCGGCTATATCTGATTTGTAATTGGATCAGACAAGTTTGCGCATCAGTTTTGATAACATTATATTCAATATCAACCCTTGTCGTTCTACTGACTCTACAGATACATATATGGATATATGTGGACTGTCAAGCCGCTTTCCACTCTCTAGTGTACCCATTACCAGGTTGTAGTTAATAGTGCAAAACTTAGAACTTATTTTCGAAGTGGGCGCAGGGATTTATAGTGAGAATTTACAACAATCTATATCAAATAATAGAAAATGTATCTAAAAATAATATTACTACTAGATAAATACGTAAAAAAAACGTTTCATTAATATACGTAAAACGAGTATCTGAAGTCGAGAGAACTCATTTATTGCATACTTTGCACCTGCCTTCTGGATTTCAAAAGTATACCACAATCGATTTCTTAGTAGCTATATGATAAAATACCCCGATAATTGTTCATCTCTAGATTATTATGAATATAAATAATAAGTTTTGTTGCTACTACGATTGTTTTTTTTTTTTTTTTTTTTTTTGAACTGGACGTTCCCTTGGAAATTGCAAGAAATAGTGCACCGATTTTAAATATGATCAGGCCGTATACAAGATTTATTAATACCAATTATGATTAACATAGTTGCTCCACTGTAACTTTTCCATCGTATTATTTGTCCTATTAAACCTAGTTCCAAATTTGACTCCCGTCATCTACTAGAAAATGAACCTTATCTCTCCTCCTTCTATCTGTTTCTCACATACAGCATTCAGACTTTCTGGTCTTCAATCCTTCGAGGACAGGGACACAGGACACATATTTCTTTTTCCATAACTTTTTAATTAGACAAGTTTCAAAATGTTTATTTGCGAGCTTACTACTAATAATTTCATTGATTTTCAATTAAGCACGGGTTCTGGAACACTGATGTAGCTTAAAGCTATTAACACAAGGTTACAATAGATCATTATTTAGAGCATTGTATGGAGAAAGCAAAAGCCTACCTACGTACGGGTGTGTAGTTCTTAGAGAGTGTGATATCGTTGCCCTAATCATCCACTTCCGCATCCTCTTCCTCCTCCGACGATGATGAGGAATCCGCCAGAAGATTCGCGAGTACACCCTGCTCGGTATTGACAATGTGTTGTGATAATGCTGGATTTTGACTGTACAACTGCGAAATGGCATAATCACAATCCGCCGGATTTTGCAACAGATTGAGGCGCAGCTGCTGATACCAACGCCGGCGCTGGAGACGCATCACAACATCGGCTTCTTCGTCGTCATCGTCATCGCCAGCACCTTCGACCAGAAACTGAATCGCTCGCTCCACATTATTTGAGGCACGCTTCAAGGCGTGACGCGCCTCGGTCTCTGGATACCCCATAGCACTGACGACTTCCACTAGCGATTTGGTGCCCTCGTCCTCTGGCATGTCAGAGGCTTTATCTTCAAGCGCGACGGAGCTCACGAGTTCCTTTTCAGCTTTAATCAAATCTCCGGAAGCCATGACGCAATTTACTTTATATTTTTACGAAAATAAAGTGCAAACAGGGCTTTGGCGCTCTTTTCGACATCACTGTGCCAGCTGTGGATAATGCTGGTTGATCGATTATCGATTAAAAACATATGTTCGCTTATTGGCATCGTGTTGGTATTTAATCGAGCTACCAGATAGACCATCAACTACAGAGTCAAGTGGTACATAATCAGAATCAATAAGAGGTCTTAGTGTTTATTTCAATTTCCGTGACAGGATCTGGCCAATCGATGACAGACAGTTTAGGCTGATTGATTCCTTCCCAGATTATATTTCTTATACACTCATAAAATGATTGTTTTCGTTAGCATATTCCAATTGGTTTTAAAATACAAAATCAAAATCAGTTACATTCTATTCTATAAAAACTGTTCTCTATCATTTTTGGCGAGAAAATCTCTGAACGCTTAGGCTCTGAGGCGGGACTTGCTTGCCGAACTGGCAAACAAATTTTCCACCACCGGGCTAGCGATTTACATACCTTTCCCTTCTTAAGTAATCTAATCAGCTTTTAATTAAAAAAGGTTTTCTCCTTTTCTCCTTAGTTTGTTAGGTCTATTACGGCTCTAACAAAACATATGGTTATGAATCGGGGCGTAGCTATCGAAATGGCACATAAAATTCCCATGATCGTCTCGGAGGCGTTAATAGACATTATTGTACATTTATTATACCCTGTACCCGTAGGGTAAAAAGGGTATATTAGGTTTGTGCAAGGTATGTAACATGCAGAAGGAAGCATCTCCGACCCCATAAAGTATATATATTCTGAATCAGCATGACGAGAGAAATCGATCTAGACATGTCCATCCGTCCGTCTGTCCGTCCGTCTGTCCGTCCGTCTGTCCGTCCGTCTGTCCGTCCGTCTGTCCGTCCGTCTGTCCGTCTGGATGAACGCAAGGATCTCAGAAACTATAAAAGCTAGAATAACTAAAGTTGGTATCCAGATTCTCCTAGGTCCGCGAAAGGACGAGTCTATTTGCTTGTAATCTGTATCGACAGCAATATTTGATGATTTAAGAATAACAAAATAAAATCAGTTACATATGCATGTACTTTAATGCGAACCCGAACAACAAAATGGGGATCCTGAGAGTTTCGCGAATCCACACAAGGCTGCCAGACCGCTTTGAAGAAAGCTTCGTTATTATTGGTATGGCAGCACCTACATATGTATGTATGTATGTGTGTTCGTTCGATTCCTATCGCGTTTTTATTCACACATTTCTACATAAATGTGACGTTCCTATTCTTCGAATAATACTCTGAAGTTGTCTTAAATCAATTTGTTAATATACTCCAAGCTCCAAAACAGCGTCAGCATTTTGCGAAGAGGCCAACAATTAGTGGTTCCTAAATATGACTGATATAACGAACAGTAAACTTGTCTTCAAATACTCTTTGGGATAGCAATATTTAACCGCAATTTGTTTGCATTAAATGGATTTTAGCTCCCTGAAATACACAGCGTCTTAAGTAAGAATTAGAAAAACCCGCTGATGACTTGCTCCAAAAACTTAAGAACAATCCCGATCCCTCTTTGTAGGCATTTATTCTCAATTGTTGGCTCTTAATAAAGCCATTAATAAATAAATTCAATATAATAGTTTTGAATTGTTAACTCTTCGTTTGGCACAATCTCCGATTTCAATGATTTTTGGATAAACTCTTAAAACTAGTATGAATAGTATGGCTTTCTATCAGGACTAACAAAAATTCTTCGATTCGAAATGTAATACATTTTTTTATGTGGATGAGTTTTACTTTATAACTAAAGAATAGATGATGGTAGATTTGACAGTTTCGACTACAAACGCAATCGGGTTTCGACATTATTCTGTTGTATTTAATTTAGTGTTACATGATATTACTAATAAAAACCTTCTGGATCGAAATAGTCCCCGAAGACGGAAATCTGTTTAAAAAAATATTAAACACCATATTCTTTGGTATGACGAAGAAAAAACTGCTTTAACCATTATATATAGTCTAGTTTTATGATTCGAAATTAGTCTTGAACGTTGAAACATAAAGTGATGGGACGCTTTTGCCAAAAATTTGATTTTGATTCGATAGTATTTTCGTTTTGCACGCATTCCATTTTTGGTGAATGGTGAGCTTTTAATTGAGAAAACAACAAAAAAAAAAAAGCAAAGGAAATTATACGATATATAATTATGCTGATAATAAATTATATATTTAAATTGTAACCCGTAATAATGAAGCACTTTCTTGGATATGAACTCACTAAAAAGAATTGCAAGTATATTCAATACTAATTAGACTTTCCAGATCTCCAAAATCTTTTATGACTCTTAAGTCGACTGTTTGTTGCACTTTAGTGTTTAGAACCCCATGAACCTTTTCGCGGAGTCTATTACTACGGAAAATGTCTACAAAAAATGTTTCAATGTTCAGAGTATCCGAGCCTCTTACAAAAAAACAAGATCTGTTAGAGCTCCATGTCAAAGTCTACAAAAAGATGTTCCAATGTTCAGAGTATCCGAGCATCTTACAAAAAAACAAGATATGTTAGAGCTCCATGTCAAGTAGACAGATGAACCACTAATCCTGCAAAACCGTTATAATAAATAGTACACATTTGTCAACAGACTGGAGTGTACAATTAAAAACTCGACCCACTGTGCAGTGTCTAAGCTGTGAAAGCTTCAAAAAAACATGTGAAATGTGCTGAGACTAAGCCAAGTGCTGAGAACATGTGGTGTATGGGTGGCTGTTTGGGGGTGGCGGCCCTCACGCATCCATCGCTAAATTAGATGTAAAATAATGAACATTTCAATTAAAATAATTAATATTATGGAGTGCACGGCAGACCTTCGACTGGCAGCCAACAGACGAGAAGTATAGAGGCTGCAATTCGAGCGCACTAAGCACTCAATTAACCATTTTAACGTTTATGGACCAAGTTCTTTTTAAGATGTACGTGTGTGTGTGTGTGTGTGCGAGTGAGACAGAGAGGAAGAGAGATAAAATAAAATAAAATGTGGGCTTCTTTTAATTATAATTAAACATGCGAGCGGGCCACAGAATGACTTGGCTGGCTGTCTGTCTGTCTGTCTGTCTCTTTCGACTGGAGGGCTGGATGGGTGGGTGGTTGGTTGGCTGAATCGTCCTTCTGACGGACTGACTGCCAGCCTAGCTGCTTGGTATAATCACTTAGCCGCGTGCAACGCAGCATTTAAAATTAATTCTACTCAAGTGCGTTTTGGCCGGACCAAAACACGTGGCATCATCATCATCGGTTCAGCTCCGTTCTGCTCAGCTCACATGTGGGGAGTGTGTTCTAGGGTGACCGCTTGGTAGGTTTTTTATAGAGTATTGTCAACAGTTCTCTGCTATGGGTTGGAATATCCAACAATGATAAAGAAGAACTAAAATAATAATGAAAATCAAAATGAAAAAAGTAATAAAAATTAAAATGAATATAATGAAAATTAAAATATGAATATCGTTAAATTGCTGAAAATAAATTAAATCTAAAGAATGCATAATATAGAATACAGAATATAGAGAAGTTTACGCTGCTATTAACACTATTTGAGTAAACTGAAGATCCTATTCATATATATTAAATATATATATAGTACTTGTACACATATTAAAGACTCGCTTTAAACAGTTGCAAGAAAGTATTGATAGTATTAAATTTTTTCTTACAAGATGCATCCCAAAGTATACGGAAGTTATTCAAAAATATCCCTTTTTGGTCCGCCACATATCGATTGTTGACTGCGTAACTTAGCTACATAAGTAGGGTTTAACATGTTTAAGAATCCCGTTCCAACGCATTTAAATTGAACAATTAGGTCTGCAGTTGACTGATAGCTAACAATTGCTCAGATCTCAATATTCAAAGAACAATAAGCCAAAAAATCGGATTGTATATTTTTGTGACTGGTGTTTTCAATACGATGCTAAAACGAAGTTTCATATTGCCGAAAATTTGTTTCGCGAAGTGAAAAGTGAACTACTTATTAGCTTTTCGAAAAATAGCATTTGCCCATATTTTAAAAGGAGGTATAAAAAAGTTCTAGCCTTTCAAAACGCTTGTACCATTTGAAATGCTTCTTAATCGTAAAAACGTTGTATTAAGTTGGAAGATGATTATTTTTAGTAAAAAAAAATCGTATTTTATTAAAATATCAAGCCTGTGTTCTTAATTTCAAAAGGTCCTATGTAGTTTGGGACGTAAGTACTTTGTATTAAAATCTAGAAATATTTGCTATTAAGAAAATTTGAATTGGCCAACCAGCAGAAAGAGCTCTATTCTATACGAAATCTGTTGTTCTTAATATGAGAACAAAAATATTCGAGAAAGTGTGGTATGTTTACATTTACATTTTTAAAAATTTCATTTCAGTAAAAACTAATACTAATACTTGGCACCGTTTTCGCTTGCTGCCTTTACCCATGTATTTATTAAGTGCAATATATAACTATTCAACTATTTTACAAATCTCTTGTTATTAAAAATAAATTTCAATTTGTTTTATTGTGCCACACAGGAAATTGAATTAAATGCGATATTTTGTATTCCCAAAGGTACAAAACGCAAAAAACATCTCATTTGTTTACGTTCTGTAAGAGATCTGTTTTCTGTTGTGATGGCCACCCTGATAGCTGCGTCTGCCTTTATGTGTGTGTGTGTGTGTGTGTGTGTCTGGAGAGAGTCTCGCAACCACCGTTAGACAATCGCGAAGCAAGCTTTACAAATTGCACGCTAATTGCTCATGTTCAATTAGAAAGAGCGAACGAAACTCACCTCCGCTGCGGAATTTTTGGAACAGTGTGCGCGTTCCCAGACAATCTCCAATACACACACACACGCACACGCAAACACACATTGGCACACACACACACACACACACACACATATAGAGGAACATTGAAAGCGGCCGCATTGAGCGCCGAAATGCTTTTTGTTTTGGTTTTGATCCTTTGCGCAAATAATTGCCTAATTGTCTCTGGTCGTGCGCACAGGGCGCGCTTG